ATATATATATATAGTAAAAATTATTAATATAAAAGATAATTTTTTAAAATAAAATCAAGAAGAAAAGTAATACATTGTGAAAAATTAAATTTTTTTCATAATCCTTGCGTATAAAGATTATTACAACTTTGAAGAATAATTGATTATATGATAATTATTATAATAAATAATTATCAATAATATACAAAAAAATAGAATCTAGAGAGTGGATAATCACTTTTATTAATTGGGTAAGCATTACTTGACTTTTACTTTTTACTTTTTCGTAGAGTTTTCTCTTTATAGCTATAAAGGTAAAAATAGGGTTAGTTGCGAATAAATAAGAATAACAATATATACAATCAAAGATAAGGTGTTGATACTTGATTCATTAACCGGTTTGAACCCAGTATGCATTGGAGGTTGAGGCTTTTAGTCTTTAAGGAAAAAACTTTAGATAGTGGTGGAAAATAGGGATGCCAATGGACCGGTTTTGGATTGGATTCAATCTGATCCAAACCTTATCAAATTGGATTTGGATGGTCTGTTATAGCTATAAAGGGTAAATTAGCACGTGTGGGCACATGTGGATGCTAAAGGTTTGCCCTTTACTTGCACATATCTTGTGCTGAATAATCTGACAGGATGGAAGCACATTATTCGAACTATTGTGAGGGCACATGCTATGCACGTGTGCAAGTAAAGGGTAAATATATAAGTTGATGTTATATAATCAAATTTATCTTTTATGACCTGCATCAAAACCAAGGCAAGTATCTTCTTTATAACCGTATAGATGACTATAATCTTTAAAAACATAGCAAGGTAATGTTTCTATATCCACACAAAACTGGCGTTTTGGGTGACCCAGAAACCAGACTTTCCTGTAGTTCAATGTGTGAATTGATTCAATGTGACTCAGAACCTTGAGGCTGTGTTTAAATTGGGAATAGAATCAGAAAAGCAGAAGAGACAAGCAATGTTAATGTGCCTTACAACCAGAGAACAATTGAGTTTTTGTTGTATTCTTTGCCATTTTAGTATATTTTTTTAATTTTAATTAATTAGGGGGATAATAATTCTCCAAATCTTGTTACTGATAAAAAATAACTTCCAAATCTGTCAGATTTTGCACTTGTATCTCACATTTCTACTCCCTTCTTCCCCCATACCAATATTTAGATTTTATACACAGATGGAAAGAATCCATGATGATTCTCAATCAAAGCAACCGGTTATGATTCATGTGAACTGTCTGTGTTTATGCCAAATGAATCTTTTGAGAATATGGTTTTTTTTTTTTTTTTTTGAGGGGAAGCAATAACTTTCATTAAAAATAATTGATAAAGATTACAACTGCCACCATCCAAGGGCCAGATGGAGAATCCTTTTACAAAAGCAGTCTCATAAACATGCCCAAAACAACTCTTGCCTATTGACTCCTTGCTTTGCTAAAGCATCAGCCATACCATTTTCTGATATTCTTGCCCAATTAATCTCTCTTGCTAAGCTTGAGATTTCTCTTAGCTGTTGTCTGAAAATCCACATGCCCAAGCTTCTAGTTTGCAGCCAGCCTATTACCAGTTTGGAGTCTCCCTCCACTTCTAACTGTTGCAATCCCCATTGCTTTTCCAATTTGAGACCTTGGAGTAAAGCAAAAACTTCTGCCCTTAGGGAGTCTCCCACCCCTACAGGGCCTGAATACAGGGCCAACACTCTACCCCCCTAATCTCTGAAAACACCCCTATACCTGAGGGGCCTGGGTTGCCTAGAAAGCTTCTGTCAAAATTCAGTTTCACTCCAGAGCAAGGCGGCGGGGTCCAACTTTCTTGAACTGAAGGGGAGAAGGATGTGGAACCAGCCATGACACTCCATCCTCTAGTGAAGTCAATAAAGGAAAAGTCTTTAAAAAGCTCCAAAGCTTTCAGCCAATGCATGATCTTGGTAGTGATGCCCTCTATAAGTGCCTCCTTGGTTCTTTCCTGCCCTTGGAAAATCCTATTATTTCTCTCCTCCCACACTAACCCTGCCCTTTGGTAACTGGAAGAAGCTAGAATTGAAAAGGTTCCGCACACATGAAGGAGGAGTCCACTTGCAACCAAAGAGAGAGGAGAACCAATCCCAAATACAAGAAGTAAAAGGACAGGAAATAAATAGATGGACCACTGTTTCACCACTCCTCAGGCAAAGGCAACAGACATGTGGGGATAGGCACCAACCTTTCCTTTTTCTTTGAAGTACGTTCAAAGTATTGACCTTTTGGAGAACCACTTCTGAGCAGAAAGTCCTAACGGAACAGGAGTAGCCCACACTTGTTTTGCAGGGAAAGGGGTAGGCACACCATCAGAACTGAGGGCAATCATATATTATCTGCTACACTCACATCTCTTCTCCTGCAGTCCGGATCCACTCCCAACCTTCCAACAAACACTTCCGAGATCCAGCACCCGGTGTCGACCTTATGGTCCTTGACTTGATTTACATTCTCTAATTCAGAGACATGCTTGCCCTCCACCTCCTCTGTTTCTAGTTTACATGGAGGAAGCTCAGAGAAGGATCTGGGAGCAGGGGTCACGAGTAAAGCTAGGGTGGAGGCAGGGGCAGAAGAGGTGGAGAGAAACCATAAGGCTTGGAAGAAGGGAGGGGATGGGGAAAAAAGGGACAGTCTCCCAGAAGTTGAGGACCATAAGGTCGACACTGGGTGCTGGGTCTTGGAAGTGTTTGTTGGAAGGTTGGGAGTGGATCTGGGTCGCAGGGGAAAAGAGTCGAGTGTAGCAGACAATAGTGAGGCTTCAGAAATCCCAAAGAAGACCAAAAATTCAAGAAAACCCAACATAGTGCATAACACGAAAGTTTTCTCAAGGCTAAAGGAGTGTCTGGTGGGAGCTGGACCGAAAAGTAAGTATAAAAAGATCTACAAGAGGAGAAGGATTAAACTAAGTTCTTCAAGTCAGGAGAAATCTTGCCCGGTTTCTTCATTCTCATCCAGTGGGGTCAGAATTAAACCTCGGCAGGATGGTTCTAACCAGGAGTGTTCAATCAATCCGGACTTGTCAGAGAAAGTTGTGAGGGGTGAGTCTGATTCGAGTGAGGTCTCTCTTGAGGAGGTACCGAAGGATAAGGAGATGAAGAAAGGTGGCGTGGATTTGATTCCAGTCAATAGAGAGTTGGAAGTTGATAAATCTCTGGGCTTGTTCTTTTTAGGGGGGGAGAATGTTGTAAGGAAAGCCTTGAAAGCTTATGAGAGAGAAAGGAGAGTTGAAAGCTTGAGAAAGGTCTCTAAAGAGTCAAGGGGAGAATATTGGGGTAAGGAGGAAGGCCAAGAAGAGTTTGGTGAAGTGGAAGATTGACCTGTGGCTTTGCAGGTGCATCGCTTCTTTGTCACAATTGTGGCAGAAATGATGTGTTTCTCTCTCTTTCTCTGTTTCTGTTGTTCTTGATTGGTTGGTTGTAGTTGTGTGGTCCGGGGGGTGTTATCTTAATACCTGCTCTTAGGTTGTATTCAATTTCTTTTTTATTTTAATAAAATTTTCCCTTTTACTTATAAAAAAAAAATCAGACCTGAGTAAGTCATTGAAAAATGAAGAGCATGAGAAAACCCCCAAGGAGGACTCTGACCAAATTCTATTATCTAGGCAAGACTGTTCTATAAAGAGAACACCCAATAGAGAGAACAACTCATTTGCGGAGGCCACTTCTGAGTCCCTCAACCCTTTCCTCAGTCCCAAATCCCAAGAACCCTCATTTACACAAACAGAGGAAATGACCTTCAATTTGTTTAAAGAAAGAGAATACATAACCTGGAAACTGTCCTTAAGAGGAATGTTCCAAACCCAAGTGTCCTAAAACAAAATTTTGTTACCTGAGCAAGCATCATACCTTATCAAAGGTTGAAAAGAAGGTAGGACTCCAACAATTGCTTTCCAGGGGTAAAAGTGAGAGGCCTTGGGGTCGAAGTCAACATCCCATCCATTTGCTGCCATACCATGAATGCTTACCTGAGCAAGCATCATACCTTATCAAAGGTTGAAAAGAAGGTAGGACTCCAACAATTGCTTTCCGGGGTAAAAGTGAGAGGCCTCGGGGTCGAAGTCAACATCCCATCCATTTGCTGCCATACCATGAATGCTTACTACCACCTAATGCCACAAGCTCTCTTGCTCCAAGGGAAATCTCCATAACCACTTTCCTAACGAGGCTAGGTTTCTTAATCTGATATTACCAATTCCAAAGCCCTCATCCTCTTGCCTCTTGGTGACAATTTCCCCCACTTCACTAGATGATCCTTTTTTGAGTCACCTGGTTCCCAAAGAAAGTCCCTCATCAACTTTTCAATTTGACTTGCTATCTTAACAGGAAGCTTGAAAGTGGACAAGAAATATACCTGTAGGTTGGCCAAAGTAGACTTGATTAGAATGATTCTATCCCCTAGAGAGATGTAATTTCTCTTCCAGCCTGCTAATTTCTTTGTGAATCTTTCCAAAACTGGGTTCTAGAAACTCTCTAACCTAGGATTTCCCCTAGAGGCAAACCCAAATAAACCATAGAGAATATGGTTTATAATTTTTCTGTTTTTTTTCTTATAATATTTTCCTTAGTGACTTTTAATAAACATAAAGAAGTTGTGTGTAGAGAGAGCAAGAGTTTTGAAGTTTTGAATTTTTTTTTTTGAAATAAAGGCAAGAAAATAAAAAAAATGAAGGAAAAAGAATAACACACATGGTTGGTTTTCCAATAAAAAGGGAAATATTGATTTTTGCACCTTAGGCTAACTATTTTCTATGACTCTCATGATGTAGCATACCCCATATTGTTGGGATAAAGCTTAACTGATGATGATCTATAGTTAACATTGTGCATTTTTTTTTCTTTTATATTTTTAATTTTCTATATATATAATTATATATATGTCTCACCTCTATCTATCTGGCTATATGGAGTCTCACTTTTATACCTGCCCTGTTGGAGCAATTCATCACTACTATCTTTTATTGTGTTGGTCTAATGAGTGTTGTCAACAGGTACGCAAGTGCTTTTTATGGTCCATTCAGAGAAGCTTTAGACTCAAACCCTCGTTTTGGAGACAAAAAAACGTATGAACCTCATCAATGTTCATTTTATTGTTCAATTTGGATTTTATTTTATTTTATTTTTTCTGTATGTGATGCTTACTATTGCATGTTAACTTGTCTTTGAAAACTGAAGTTACCAGATGAACCCAGCAAACTACAGAGAAGCTTTGGTTGAGACCCATGCAGATGAGGATGAGGGAGCTGATATCCTTTTGGTAAATATTTTCTTTTTCTAGGAACTTCAATTGCCTTGACTTCATGAGAGAAGTCGCTATTCATACTAAAAGTAATCTAACTGGATTCACAGGTGAAACCTAGACTTCCATACTTGGATGTTATACGGCTTCTTCGAGATAACTCCTCACTGCCAATTGCTGCATATCAGGTACTTTAGTTGCTCTTATTCTTCCCAAAAGCATCTTGTTGTACATGAGGTTCCGAATTTCACCTTTTTCATTCAGAACTGCTGCTAATTGTTGTACTTTTTTTCTTTACGAAAATGACATGTTCTCTTCATTTTGAAGTATCTAGGTTTTGTATCTTCCGTTTACAATATTTTCTAATATTATCAATGGAATTTGATTTACCTTTTTGTTGATCAATTGCATTTCTTGATTCTCAGAATTAATCATGGTAAAACATAGAGTTGGATATATATGCATTGCCTTATTTAGTGTGTGCTTTCATGCATATGAATTAGAATGATGGATATTTCATTTTGGCAATTCTACAGAAGCAATAGTCATGATCCCAAGTTCATGCCTATGTTTCATTGATAAAATATATACTTCAGTCTGGCAGTTTGAGAACACAAGTTTGAGCCTGAGAGCAGCCACCTCATGCAAAAATTCTGGAGGTTAGGTCTATATCCAATCCAACCCTCAAGACCTCAGATAGCCAGGACCAACATTGTGTAATGACCTTTATCCTAAAGTTCGTGGGATGTTCATAAAATCATGACTATGAACAGATCACAGAAATATCCACTCTCTGCATTATAACAGTAGAAGATCAAGACTGTAATCAGTCTTGAATCCTAATAGGTTTTAGGTTTACAAAATAGAAGAAAAGTGAGAGAAAGAAGAGAGAATAGAAGAGGAACAGGAGAACACAAGTGGTTGAAAGGAGGAACAGATTCTAACAGATCTGCCGTCGCCACTTTCTTATTATTTATAGGTTATGTTTAGTACACAATGGAAAGGACACATCTGCCCTTAG